ACTTGAAGTTCTCCAATTGCAAAATGACACAATTATTCTTCGTCTCTCTCCGCAACTTCAAATTCTCTGCAATCCTTCCACTTGACTCAATTCTAACAACTGCGTAGGCAAAACTTGGTGAATCATCATAGACTGCAATGCTTGTGATGTGGGGGCAACTGCATTCAAAATTTTAGGTATCCTGACAATATACCTGCTATACAAATTATTGAAAGGTTGAATCCTTGATCAGACCACTCTATCCCAAAGAAGCAGACACTGTCAGAAGATCTGTTAAGGGAGTCCTTCAACAGGCAAAACCACCTTTGTGAAGGAAATTCTACAGCAGAAAAAGGATGTGCTAGCTCCTCTCAGACCAAGTTGTCCTCCCTGATCTGAAGTGGACCATATCAGGGCTTAAACAAAGAACCATTAGACCATCTGATGAGAAAGTTGTCTAAGAAACTGCCAACTTGGTTGTCGACAATCAAGAAATGTAGCAGCAAGACAGCCATGCGACAGCAGACCACTGACGACTGTGGAATTTCATCCAGTCACAGCTGAGCACAACAGTTTATTGGGGATGCATACTCAATTGAAATCATCACCTGCTAAAGAGTAGCAGTATGCAGTCAAAATGTCACAATCCACATCTGCATTGACAAAATGATTTCTGATAATAATGTAGTGCATATGTAGCGGAATATACATATGGATATGATCTAATGAACTTCAAAACAACTGAAATAAAATAAGTAAACCTAACAATTAAAAACTAACCATAAATTTTTTATCTGCAGATCTCACCGTTATTGAAATAACTATCTCAAAATAATCTAATCTTGTATTTGCATTTAAAAGTTAATATAGAATGCTCAAAGAAGCAAAATCTCGATTATAAAATTATTAACGATATGGTATATGGTAAAATGCAGAAATCTTAGATTGATATATGTTATATTTCGATAATCTTTAAAGACTACATTTAAATACTCAGAAATGAAACATTTGGAATACTTAGTAACTTGTATGATTCTCTTAAAAATAAACTCTTAAGGTCTTTCTTGAATTTGGAGAAATGTTTCATTTCTGATCCCCAGTGGATCTCTGGATTTCCTCCATCCTCATTAGACTTCTCAAGCTGTGCTGCCAATCCCAATCTTTAATCTTAATTTTTTAGTTCTCTTATAGGCTCATAGGCTCCTATTCTAGCCTGTGGTCTAGAGCTTCTTTCTTTCCTTTTTTGACTTCCAATTACATCACACAAGGGCATTTCTCATTTTTACTTATGTGCAAGAATGAAGTGTTGCAGCTTGCTGACTCGAGTTCCAGCAAGGGAGCATAATCACAGCAGGGCTCTGAAAACATGGTTCGACTCGTATTCCTTCACTACGAATTTCATACCACATGAATTCATAGGCAATGAGTACTCAGTGAAATCCTTACAAAGGTATGCCAAAGCCTTGGAATTTCAGGAGATGATAAATTCATGGGTGCTAAACATTGATCAGTGGTTAATCCAACACTGATGTAAAAATAAGATCATTTTCATGACCCGTGGTCATTTTCAGAACAAATCTGTCTATTTGTGCGTGCAGTATCTAATAATTATCACATGTGAATATTCATCGACTTGATGAATACTTAATGGCCTATCTTTTAGCAAATTACGATTGAAACGAGAGCTTTAAAACTGTCTTTATTTCAGGAAGTGTTTAGCTGCAGATAGCCAGGATCAAAGTGAACGAACATGTCAAAATTAAAGTTGAATTTATCTACAATATTTTATAATTGTAATAGTATGCATTTATATAGCTTTTAAGACTATGCACATGTTCAGAAGTGCTTTGCATAACATCAAGTATTGTAAATTAGCACTGGACGCTTTTCTAAAAAGAAATGCGTTAAGATATTTCTTAAAAGTAGCTAGGCTGCCACAGGATCTGATTGGTAATGGCAATCACTGAAAAAAATAATAAAATAAAGAAAGTTAAAATGATATAAAAACACATTGTTTGAAATATTTTATTTCATGTCACTTTTTTGTTACTTTTGTTAGAAACAATGATGTCTCTTATAATTGACATCAGCAAAGTTGGATGAAAAATATGCAGTATGTAGACACAGCAGTTACATAGACGTGCAAGTCAATATGAATATTGGGGCTTCACATCCCAGAGTATACTTAGTCAACTCATGCTACGGAAAATGGAGTCAAACACTGGCCTGATCAGCCATATTTCTGGTAAACAGACTTACTCTTACCTGTACCACTGAAGTGTTCGTGTGCGAGGAACGGCATGGCATAGCCATTAGTTGCAACTGTTAAAGGTGGTGAAAACATGAGAAATAACTATAAAAGTTCTTTTTTCTGTCAAATTCTCTGCCGACCATAGCCCAAACATGAAGTCAAATTGTTCTTCCTTTAATACATGAAGAGCTGTCCATGGGAATTCCTTTGAGGCAAAGGGTTGTCTATAAAGTTACTCAATTATTCCAAACTTCTTCTTTCCTGATTCACAGCTGGCTTAAAAAAACAATACTTACTCTTTGTTTTTATTGTTGGTTGAACACCTACAGGCATTCACGGGAGAGTTCTGCTTTGCTTCACTGCTGTGTTGTGAAAACATTGCAGCTAGAGTTTGGTGGCCTGCATGGAGAGCACTAAAACCTCTTCATAGTGTGGTTCCAACTGACATCCTTGAGGTATCCATTATTAAATGGATTGATAAATATATATAGTATAATTAAAAATGACAAAAAACAAGTCCAACAAAAGCTTAACATTTTGACAAATCTGAAACTATGAATGCAATTTTGAGCAGTTAATGTTTACAAGTTAAAAGTGAAAATTTATTTTATATACTAACATATTAGCAGCATTTATCTGGGCTTGCAAGCTGGATTTGTTGGGATCCTGCGGAGAATAATTTAAATATACAAAATATGTCCAGCAATGTAAAGTGCAAAAAGTTTAGCAGCAAGCCTGAATCGAATAGGAGCCTGTTAAAATAGTATAAGTATAACAAAGTACATATATGTAATAGTCTAGTTTGATCATCCCGGTGAGTGTAGTCCTGAGAAGTGCTTCCAGTGCTTCTTGGTTGGTATTCTGACATGCAGTCCATGGAGTATTACCGTTATTTGTAGTAATAAAGAACGGTACTCGATATAGCATTGCATCCTCTCTAAATTTCACTGGAACAGAGGTTGGTGTACCTTCTAAAATCTTTCTTCCATAATTCCAGTGTTTGGGGCTCGAAGACTACTTCTTCAAATAAGACACATCTCTGATTTACAGCTGACTGAAATTTAAAGATACTAGCACTGTTACCAATATCAATAAATTTTTTGATAGTCAAACTAATGGATAAGGTAATCAAACTTTTTCCACTGTTTAAAAAACCCGTGTAAATACAGGCAGTTCTTTTTCTTTTCTGTCATGTCTACAATTCCCTTGCGGTGGCTGCAAATTCAAAGGGGTTGATGTCCTGTGCACATAATATTAATTGAATGCATTCTTCTTGACCTGTCGATGGGCGTAAAGGTGTATCCGCGGATACTTGCGTCTTGTTGTTTAAGATGTAATGCCTGTGCTTTTTGGACATTATCCCTGTAAATGTCTTGATAGTATAAATCTTTCCAGGCTTCTTTACAACTCTTCAGTGCCCAGTCTTCAAATGCGGAAATGTTGCTGGCACTTGGATTATTCCAACATGGCTTCAAGTGTGTCTGCTCTTTTGTGTTTGGCTGTTTGTTTGTTTGTTTACTCTTTCTGCTTTCACTGGGGCCATAACTCAGATAACATGGTGTAAACATTCATTTTTATTTTGATCAAGACACCTCCCACACCCAACAAGAAATTCTTCGGAGCCAAGGTGATTGAAAGTTGGTTGCATCAACCTTACCACAGATACCAGAGGTGGATTTTTGATTGGTACATGGGTCTTTTCCCAGGTCACTATATCCCTGTTGTAACTGCACCGTGAGTTCCTACCTGTGGGGCAGTCCCCATGTAGAGGCTTATCTGGGGCACTGGAATAGTGCTTCAAAGTGGTGTGTGTTGCTCTTGACATGGCTTTTGCATCACCTCTATTTTCTCTTCTGGCCTGACCATAAAAGCCTTAAATAGTGTCTTTTCTGGCTATGGTCAGTCTTCCAGTACCACTGATAGTCCCACCATCCTCCGGTCTCTTTCCCAGAGAAACATATATGTGCAAATAAGGTATGATGCAACTGGTTCATTCATATCATAATGGTTGTGTTACATACTTAAATTTCAGTAGACTTTGCTACTTTTTGTTCAGGGTAAATTATTCTCTGCTCATTTTATGTCAATGTAGTATACATGTAAACAAGATGCAAAATTGATTAAAGGAAAAATCCAAGGTCCAGTTTGATAAGTCAAAATATTCTACACTACTTCCCAAACCACCAGATGAAACTCTATGGACATTATTCTCAGTTTACGATCTAAAGTTGCTAATATAATTTTTTCCTTTACAACAGCACTACTGAAAGTCAAGTAGTGTTGAGAATAGTAATGTAATACCATTTTGGAATTACCTGCATCTATCTGAAAAATCAAATATTTGCTCTCCCTTGTGTGTTGATGTAAAGCTTTCTTAATGCTGTCCTCATTCGTTTTGTGTCATGTGCGATACAGTCTTCTTTAGGAATAAAAACTGCAGGACCATAAAGGGCCATCTTACTTGCTTCTGTGTAACTTTTACTGTCCCCATCACCCACTGAAGAGATGTACCTCAAGTTGTGTTTGTTAAGCAACCATCCAAATAAGGGACCTGATATCCGTATTTTCATTGACTAAATGTGAAACCATTACAACATCAGTATCCAAAAGTAACATTTAAATGCCCGTTGCATGATAGTCCCTTTAGATCACTATATACTGTGTGCTTCTCCATCAAAAAGTCTACTATAGGAGAAAAAAGTGTAAATGACCAGTTTTGCCCTAATAACAATAGACAAGGAGTAAAATTACTTGCTAATTCCCTTCGTGATTATGGAAACAATTTTCTTTGTGGCGGATAACCCAACTCAAGTAGTCCGTTCTGGAAATGGAGCCTTCCTGTTGCTTTCTTTCCATTTGGTTGCAAGTTGCACATGAGTTCAACAAGAAAGCAACGTGTGTCAATTGAAATGACTGCAACAACACCGTCACAAGCAGACCATCCTCGCTGGCTCCACGATCCATCAGCAGAAACTCCTGCATCAACAAATAATAATAATGATAAAGACCTTGTTCAAAGAGGGCTATCACTTAATAGCCAAAGGCTAATAAAATATAATATAATAAAAGTTAAAAACCTAAATTCATCAGAGATGCAAATAGTTGAATTAAATTAGTATTAAAACTTCCGTAAAGAGTAGATATCAACAGATTTAAAAGTTAAATCCTAAAGTGGTCTAAATGTTGCTGCGCCGTGAAGATTGTTTTAAATAAATTAGTTCTTAAGGACTTAATGGAGTCTGATTTTCTGATATTTAGAGGTACATTATTCCAAAGTCTTGTTGCTGATACAGCAAAAGAAAGGCCTCCTTCAGTCTCACGCTTATGATAAAGACAGATAGAATTATAGCTAGCATACCGTATGCTTCTGTTATGTTGTGTATTGTTAATCGCAAGTTGTTCATTCAGATAGTCTGGATGAGAGCCATTTACGCGCGTATAAAAAATAGCACATTTGTTAATTTTACTCTGTCCATAAAAAGGTATCCATTCCAGCTTGGTAAAAAGTGTTGCAAGGGGTGTTAGGTGGTCGGCATATAAAATGATTCTAGCTGCAGACATCTGTAATTTATCTGCAAAGTGGTTCCTTGTCACATTATGACGTCATGACGTCAAGTGTATAACGTATTGTGCATATGGCACCTAATGACTTTCGACAAAATTTGTAACACTGAAATGGGATGATAGTTACGTGAATCACATTCAGTGCCCTTCTTCTAGCGAAGGTAGGCTCAGAACACTTGGGACTCTTTTAGCAGCTGAGTGGCCATGACGCATTAGTCGTAGTCCAAGAACCAGTTCCCTGTTTACATGGTTAAACTTGTTAGTCTTTGGCGTTGTGTGAAATGGTGACACCAGCTCATGTGAGGAGCACTTAGGGTTTCTGCAATGACAAATTCATTCCGCTCCCAGTCCAGATTTTGCAACTTCTTCGAATTTTACCCCTTCACTTTGACAAAAGCTGCAAGTGACTCGACCAACAAGCTGTCTATTGAGCTCATCATTAGCAACAATGCTCTAGTATTTAAGGCGGCTACTGTGGTTTCTCCTTTTTCTGTATCGGTTCCATCATATTCTGAAGAACAATCTTGTTTGCGACCTGCGCTGGCTCTTATTTTTTAAGCTGCTTGCTCCAATGATATTCAAATGCTGCGGATCTTCAGTGGATGCTGAGCTTGTCAGAGGTTCTTGGTCAAACCAAGAACCTTTGTCGCTTTCAGCAAGGAGATATATTTTTTTCCTTAAGAGAGTGGTGCTCTTACTTTCTTCTTTAGGCCTCTTTTTTCTTTCTCGTTACCCTAGGACTTTTTCTGCTTTTAATTTTTCCATGAATGCAATGTGAATGCACTGCTCTTCCACATATAAATTTTGTCAAGTGTGCTGACCTGTTTTTTTGCAAACAGTTTTAGTTAGTATGCAGTTGTTAACAAGGAGAAAGTAATCCAGAGGCATTTTAACTCAGGAAGTGCTTTTACATCGTGTGGTGCTTCGGTCCACTTCAAACCATTAAAGTAATAGTTATTTGGTCTTCCTGGTGCTCCTACATTGCCATTATCTGCCTCCTCTTTTTTATCCTCGATGATGATGTTCCTCAAATCAATATTGTCATTATCTGGCTCCTGAAGTAGCTTTGTCCTTTTCATTTTTCTAATCCTTTAATGTCAGCGTAAAAACCACCTTACTAGGCTTCTGCTCATGTTTTGCAGGTGGGCTTTTAATCTTTTCTTGTCAACAAATATTTCCAATAAAACTTTATGAAAACAACTCAAACCCGGCTAAAATAGCAATTCTGCGCATGTTTTTGTAAAATAAACGATTAGGGACTTGTAGTAACTAAAAGGAAGACTGGCAATTTATGTAATCCAGGTTATTCTGGTGCAATAAGAATGAAGGGTTTTGTGTAGCACTAGTATCTTAATGTTCAAAGGCACTTTACAAAACCAACAAATCTCTGTAAAAACTCAGAAAAAGAATTGGTCGAAAAGTGACAACAAAAGGGTTTTTTTAAGTCTTTGTTGAAAGTGGACAGTGCTAAAACTATTTTTAATGTCATATGGCAAAGCTTTCCACAGTGATGGGGCTGCCACAGAGAAGGATCTTGCACCATATCTTTTTGAGTTGTACCGCAGATTAAAAAGATGTCTAAATGATCAATGTAATTAACCCAATGGAGTGTGGGGTGCAAGCATATCGGGTATGTACAATGGTGCCAAGTTGTTGAGTGCCTTGTGGTTATAAATAAAATTTTAAAATGATGCAAAATTCACTGGAAGCCGATAATTAAAAGAATGGATGTAATATGGTCATGCTTTCCTGTAAGTGTGATGAGTCAAGTAGCAGCATTCTGGATGTCCTGTGAGGTAAGCCATAAAGTGGAGCATTGCAGTGATCTAACTTTGAAGACCCAAATACTTGAATAAGATGTTCAGCGATGGTCAGCAGTAGGTCCTTCATGATTTAGTTGATGTTTAGCTGATGATATACGAAGATTTGAAAATATTAGCAACATGGTCATTGAAACAAAAATAACTATCACACCAAACTATTACACCAACATTCCTCGCTTCATGCAAGGAGTGAATAGTTTCTTAATAACTGAGATATCGCAAAGAAGTGCTTTGCAGAGCTCTCCATGTTAGACACAGTTAGATCCCTATCACCAAGTATAGTTGGCTGGATGGACAAGTAGAGGTGTGATAGCAATGAAAGCTCAATTTCAATTTCTTTTTAATGTCTGAAAGCAATGACGTGTAAAGAAGATGTAAACTGGGCCCCAAAACAGATCCTTGTAGAACTCCACATCTAAAAGGATGTTTTACAGAGGTACCACCATCAGTAGAAACATATTGCATAAGATCAGATAGGTACACGTAAGATTGTAACCATAGTATGTGTTCACCAGTTATATCAAAAAATGAGAGAGCAGAATGTCATAAGAAACAGTATCAAAAGCAGCAGATAAGTTATCTCCTTTCTTAAGCAATTCCTTGAACTTGTCCAAGTTACGAGCCAAACACAAAGATTTTTCTTCATTCAGTGCATACGTAAGCTTAGAGCTAAATCTATATTAATCTTTTTTGGCTTCCTTTTTAAGCTGAGGTAGCTTTTTTAACTTTAACGTTTTTATCTCAAATATTGGAATCAGCAGTTTTGGAATTTGTCCTCTTGAGATCAGATAATTAGTTCAGCATTTGAGTCATCAACTGAAGGACTCTATGGCTATGGCTACATCTACAAGGTATGTCTTGATTATCTAATAAAATTTTGAGAGCTTTGACTCTTTGCTATCTCTTGTAAGTGTGATGAGACAAGCAGTGGCATTCTGGACGTGCTGTAACCTTTTCATAGTACTGTTAGGTAGCCATAAAGTGGAGCATTGCAATGATCCAACTTTGGTGGTCCGCATTTGATGTTTCGGAGATGGTTAAATCAAGCATTTGCAAATATTGGCAACATGTTTATTAAACAAAAATGACTATCAAATATTGCAGCAATACTGCGAGGAGTGAATGGTTTCATCTGCAACTGAGATATCTCGAAGAAGTGGTTGTGGAGAATGTTAAACAGAGAATGCCAATAGCTCAGTCTTGTCTTTATTTAAGTTAAGGTGGCTCATCAGCACTCAGTGATTCACTTCATTCACACAGCTCTTGATGTTAGACATAGCTAGATCCCCATTATCAGGTATGGTTGGCTTGAAGGACAAATAAAGTTTGTCATCAGCATTAATATTATAACTCAAATTGAATTTCCCTGCAATGTCTGAAAGCGGTGACATGTTAAAAAATATATAAAATGGGTCCTTAACCAGATCCTTGTGGAACTCCAAATTTAAAGGGATGTTTCACAGAGGTACCACCTTCAACAGAAACATATTGCACAAGATCAGGCAAGTAAGATTTTAACCATAGTAGAGCAGTATGCTGGCCTAAAACTGCTATTAGAAAATTTACTTAAGTTTAGGGATTTTATACATTTTTTTTGTTTATTTGTTGGTAATAAACATAAAAAGAGGAATAAAATCATTTTGAAATCAAATGAAATTAAATCAAAATGAAGTTAATTAATTTTTTAAAATCAAAATTTTTAAAATCAAAACAAAATCTATTTACTTTTGAATCTAAATGAACTCTAATTTAATGCTCTATGGCAGCAATAGGCCAACGGGGAAATTTTGTGTTGCGAAAAAAAATATATAATCATGGCCTATCGCTGCCATAGACCATTATGCACCTTGGCACTTTCCGACATGACATCTCATATTGGAAGGAAGATCAGACCTTGAAAGAAACCTTCAAACGTTATGTGAATAAGCAGCTGTGATGTCAAGAGATTCTAGACTTCGTGTCTAGATATTTTGAACAATATGCTTGGAGCCTTAAAACTCTACACCGAAGACTAGGGTACATCGAGATTTAAAACACAGATCACTGCAACGATCGGCTAAGTTGAGAGCGCAGTGCAACAAGAAATGGAAGGGCAAGGAAAACTGTTAGGGCGTAGGGCGTTACATAAAAAGATTAGGTAAGTCTACAACATGAATGTACCACGAGATTTGGTTTATGCTGTCATTTACCAGGTAGATCCTGATGCCCTAGAGCATACGGCTCCCAAGTTCAAAAAGAAAAAATCTGAAGGTCATTTTATAACCTGATCCCAACTTTGTCCACTCACTTGATGGGCACGAGAAGTTGATGGGCTATCGAAATAGTTCTTTGCCAATTGTTGTATGTATTGATATGTGCAGCCAAAAGGGGCTTTGGGTGAAAGTTTGGATATCTAACAGCAATCCAAATCTTATTGGACGCTTTTATTTGGAGTTCTTGTTCAAGACGGGAAGAATTGCTTCTAAATTGAGGCTAGACAAAGGAACTGAAACCAGTGGGGTGGCGACCATGCAGGCATATCTTCGGCAGCAACACAGTGTTATGGAGGATTTCCATGATGGACATGGCCATCGACTTCAAACCAGGTGAGAGTAGCACTTGTATCATGAAATCAAAACTGACATGATAGTTTCATCATTTGTTTGGCCAAGTGTGTTAATTTATGCCTAGTTAAAAATTTGATCCTAATTTGAGTGATCTTTGTGGAGAAAAATGGCTAAAAGGAAAATTTTCGTACATGTATAGTTAGGAATAATTATAAACAATAGAAGTGTGTGAGATTTTTGTACATAATTAAATATGCCCAAGTATGGAAGTTTTACCAACCCATATAATAAAAACCTTATTGAATGATTTTTCCATTTGAATGGGGATTTATTTTAACTCAACAATTGTATTTTCCGTGTCTTTCATACTCGGAAAAAATGTTTTGACTTGTTAAAAATCTACTAAACAGAAAATTGTGCAATAAGATTTAAAAGTTTTCACGGGTCATGCACTCAAAGTAGCGTTTTCTAAAAGTGTGTGTGCAAAGTACACTTGGAGCTCAGTGTTGGTGAGATGGTTAGTAAAAAAAAATCTAGAATGAGATGTGGATGTTTTAAAAGAGTTCACCTGCAGTGCAAAATGATAGGTATTTTATTTTTAATTATGATTGAAATTATAATAATGTGCATGTGACATAATACTTTTTAATAAAACCACAAACACAACTACCATCAGCTCCAACCTTCATAATTGCAATAACTGCAACTTCCTTCCGAAGCGAAATAATAAGCCATACATCATTTGTTTGTTATCACAAATATTAAATGAAAATTTTGTGTGCAACTGTCAAATGGTTTAAAAAAAACTGTGAGGTGATAATACAGGTAAATAATGTTTTATTGATGTTATAGATTGTACGGTGGTGGAGAGAACTCTATGAAAGGCTCCAAAATATTTTTAAACTCCCCTTATGGGTTCCTTATCGATGTTGAATTCGACAGTTCATGGTCTGTTTATATATATATATACCGTTTATTTGCCACATTGCAGAATTAACTGAATTAAAGGGGTTTAAATTAAGAATCAACAAATAATTAACACTATAATGACTATGGAGACAATAAAAATTATTTACACATTTACTAGCGAATGAAATAAAGGAACCTGAACACTGGGTCCGGCAACAACAACTATCAGCAGAAACAATATTTCTATTGTTGTCGTTGGCCCGCAAGTTGTAACTATGACCACTAGATGTTGTTCTCTGCTTGAGGAAGTTAATGGGGTGGTCTTTTAGAGTCACCTTTTAAATATATTTACAGCAGAGCTGAGTTCGTCTTTCTTTCAAGCTGCTAAGGTTGGCAGTATTAAGGGCATCTGTGTTACTATGGCATGGATAGATCATATGTAGTGCCCTTTTTTTAATTGACCCCAGCTTATTTCAAGTAATTCAGGAATATCTACCTAGGCTTGTACGCCATATTCTTGTATAGGTCTTATTGTTGTCAAGTAAACTTTGACAATTCCCTCTTTATTAACACGCACTTTTTTAAGAACCCTCAGGGAATACAGGCGTTTGGAAGCCTTTTTCGATCTGTAATAAATATGCTCGTTGTACTTTAAATCATTACTGACTATAATGCCGAGTAATTTATAAGCTGTTACACATTGAACAGTGCTGTAACCAAGGACAATTGGTCTTGTAGTAAAATTATCATTTTGCATGAAGCTAATTAACACTTCTTTGCAAGGGTGCATGTCAGAGAGATAGGTCTCAAGTCAGATTGAATTTCTTGAGGCGGGGAAACCTTGGGCAGGGGGTTGATTATGGATTGCTTCAGCAGATCAGGAACATGACCGAACCATTGCCTACATGTTGAAGTTTTCAACTGACTTGAAGTGCTTGTTTTCTTGATGGTCTTTCCAAGCTTGGGTATTTCCACCACTGATAAACTTTTTGGGATGAAATAGCTTGTAGCCACTTTTGGCATCTTACTTGGGCCAGGTTGGGAAATAGGCAGTACTCCACATCTCTTCTTAGGATTATTTTCCCTTGGTGATGTGTTGAGTTGCCCTTGTGATGCTTCAGTTCTTCTGACGAAGTTCATGTGATCTTGAAGTCCGGAATTTGCTTCGTAGAGAAGCAAGAAGGACCGTTTTCTCCAGCAAGGACATTGCAACACATTGATGGAAGTATTTTGTAACGCTTCCTACAGGCACTCTTTATGCTGTCAATGAACATCTCGTAGGCATGGAAAGGCGGGAATTCTTGTGCAGCGATGCGAGAATACTTTTGTGTTTTTCTGGCTACTTCGGCTCTTAGTCGTTGAACAATTATTGTGTCATAGTGCGTAATCCCTTTCTCCTCTTATGACAATTTCTTCTTCATTCTCTTCTCATTGATCTGCTTTTTAAAACGATTCAATCGCGACATAGTGGCAATCACACGAAGATGGCAGATGTACACGCGTTTTCTGTCACTTAACGTCACTTGTGAAGTGCCGAGGTCCATGATGGTCTATGGCAGCAATAGGCCATGATTATATATTTTTTTCACAATAAAAAATGTTCCCTCTTGGCCTATCACTGCCATGGAGCATTTAGTTAAATTTCATTTTGATTTAAATGTGTATGCCGGTACATGGTTCTCTCTTTGACATTGCTCTCCCTGACAATACTGTTAAGTATCTGTTCTGGGACGATCAAGGGAAGATAGGATAGTTAATTCAGCAAAGATTCCTCTTCAAAGACCGTTTGGGGGGGGCACCAGGTGACCTATCATATACAGACAACATAACTGTCTGTACAAATCACAAAAAAACATTTGAAACTCTTAATTTCAAAAATAATAAATGTCCTAATAGCAACTTCACTTGTGTTTTAATAAATACAGCAGTTACCCATCAAGTTTCTGATTTTGTTTTTGTTGTTTTGTCAGTGGCGTCTCTATTATTAAATAAATCGTTTTCTAAATCCTACGATATATAAATATGTCCAGTGTGAAATTTTGCTGTCATTTGTTGAGATAAGCTGAGCTAGATCTTGTATTTGCCATAAGTTTCAAGGAATGTTATTACATTTACCTTAGGTTGTTATGATGAGATAGGTTGTGGAATGACTACAAAAACGTTTTTGCTATGATGTATCAATATTATGGTATGAAACAAATGGTAAACACCACAGCGTACACTATTGAGTTGTGGATACATGCAGGAGGCTTGCTAAGAACCCTGGAACCTTAAGTCACTCTCTTCTATAACCTCAAGCAACTCTTATGCTTATTTAGCACTCAGCCAAACCAAACCAAAACCAAAGCCCAAGAAGGGAAATGCTAGAAAAGAAATCAAGCAAGTCAATAGCTCGAAAAGAAATTCTCAACACTGGGTGTAAAGTGACTCTGAAGCAGGATGCAAAGAGTAGAAAAGCACTAAACAGCAAGAGGATAAACAAGGATGTTCAACTTCAAACACTCGGAGAGTCTGAGAGAAATAAGATAAGACATTTTTTATGTGGAATGTTCATTTAACAGATGCAAATTTCTAGTCAGATGGTACAAATGTGCTTTAATAGACTCGTGGTAGAGGAGGAGACTTCCATCCATTTGTGGTAAATGATTGGAGAAATACAAACATTACATGCCAGGATCAATGTCAATACATTGAAATGCAAGAAATTTGTTCCAGTGGAATGAGTATCAAAGACTTTAATGACAAAAGAATTTTGGTGGAATGGATCACAATTTATTCTTCAACAGAGAATGAATAATCAAAGGTCAACGTCAAGGAGGATCCTAAAGTTAGAACCTTGAAAAGGAAGACATTCCAAGTTCCTCAAAGACTAAATCCTGTTAATGGCTCAAGTTGGTTGATACTCGAGCAAGTGACATCATGGGTGCAAGACTTATCATAAATTGCCTTACGAAAGAGTGCTTCTTTGTCTAAAACAACAACATGTAACAAAATGCACTTAAGCATAGCATGACACTGGCAGAGTTCCCTTCACTTGCATATCCGTAGTGTAGTACATATGTTACTCAATTTTTCTGGTCTATACATGAAAATCTGCAGCAGTATGTTGCCATACTGGAACTAAGTCTATAAAATTAAATTTGAAAACTTTCTTTTATGGAAAGAGAGAGACAACACATCAAGCAAATGCAAAGCATAAAGGCAAATTATAGTCTAAGCAAGAATTGAAGGCATTAACCAGTGTTCTGGCCGTACCCTGTGTGGGAAAAGGAACTAGGAAGGAGTGATAGGTAATGGGAATTCAAAATGGGAGGTTGAAAGACTGCCATTAAGAGAAAGAGCAAAACAAATGCAAAGTGAAAAAAGAAAGTTGCAGTCTTTGTAAGAGTTAAAGGTATGTGACAGGTTTTCGGCTTTGAACAAGAGAAGAGATCATCCATGGGCTATTACTTTGGAAACTGTGAAAAAAAAACAGTGGCCATGGCAACCGAAATTTTGTTACCCAATGAATTATTTTTAAATCAATTACAAAAAATGAAGTGTTTAAAAAAACTAATGAAAGAAAGAAAAAAAATGGGAAAAAAAAGGTTTTAGATTTTTATATTAATTAAGTTACTTGAGGATTTCATTGCCTTTAAGTTTCCTAATAAGTTAAGAAAATATAAAATTCATTAGAGTTGGTCTACTAAATGGGGTGTACATCTTATTTTTAGCTGCTTGAACCCAACTTTGTTTCTCTTCCTGTTGGAAGACAGTTTATTTCCATTATCAACTGTCATTTATTACCCTGGATCTTTTTCCTCTTTTAGTTTTGTTTGTTTGCTCTTATTCTACAGGAATCAACATGACTTTTAAGAGTCTGTTGTTGATTACTTTAAATGTTGGTACCCAGCCTAATTTTGCTGCAAGAAACGGATGCAAGAATGAGACGCGCCCAGTGAGCAGGGTTTCCAATAGGAAAATGTACAGACTGCACTGTTTCCTCAGTCAGTGATGGTCATTATGGATAAGACGCACTAGGATTTTTGGTACTTGCTTGGAGAGAATTTGAATTTTTACCTTTTTAAATAATTAATTTAACAGTCTTAAGATAGAGGGTTCATCTCACTGGAAAGTGGTATTCTGTGAGGCCCTGTAAAATAAAATGAAAGTCATCGTAGATAGATAACAAGTTAAAAAAATAGAAAACTATGAAATGCACTAAATATGTTTATAAAAGTTGCTTAATTGTAGAGGCTAAAAAATCTTGACACTGACTTGACTAAATATATAGTTTTCCACTCTGCTTAAAGACGAGGAAATAGTCAATTTCCTTAAAAGTAGTGCGGAAAGGGTTAAAATCTAACTTTTACAATAAATAAACTTAATCCCTTATCATATTTAATTTTTGAACTATTGGTCCATTGACATGGGAACAAGCTTTGAGTAGTTGAGCTGCTGACTTTTGGTGGAAGGCATACTGCTCCCAGTAGCTTAATATTTTCGCTTGGATGAAGTAGTAATTTTCTTTTGTAGTTTTGTTAGAAACCAATCTAACCTGATGGGCCACAAGGTAGGCTTCCTTGTGCAGTAGGTGCACAAGCATGTAAAGTTGCTTCTGGGCTCTTCCTGAGGCACATTTGTTTAGGCCATTATGCCATCCTTCTATGTCATTATTGGTGAAGAAGCTCATTGCTTGTTCACACTCCAGCAGGAGGGAGGCCACGTAGTGCTTTGTACCCAGGTGCCATCGACATACTCCACAAACTTCTGCAGGGGTTCAGTGGTGGCTTGCAGCTGAAGTCTGGTATTTGCTAGTATTTGACTTGGAGGCAGGAATGATATAGCCATTATTTTACAGAGATACTAGAAGGTGCCATCATCTGATTGACATGCTGTCTGAAGACCAAGTTCTCGAATCTGCAATTTAAAATGTTAAAAAAAGATGGTTAGCGAATATTAAAAAAGATTGGACACTCCCACGTCAATCATGACCTGGTTAATCTTTGGGTTCTGTGGTAGGAAGTCTAATATAGTTCTCATGACCTGAAACAAGATAAGGTATAGGTGTGAGTGAATGTTAAGGGCTAATATTACCTATTATTCAGCTTTAAAAAGTTCTTAGACCTGTTTCATGTGGTCCTCACATCTAACACATGCATTGATGGTCCAGAGCTGGGTGAAGGGGTGGCGGCACAACTTGAAGGTACCATTTATAAACCAGGTTTTGGCTTTGCTGAAAAACTGAAGTTGTTTTTCGGTGGCAAAGACAAGATGGCGTCTACTGTTGACAGTTACATCTGCTTGAAAGAAGCCATCAGGAATGTGATCCTCTTCCAAACTGAAATTTAGGTCTACTGGGTCTTTGGGTCTGTATTTTGTCGAAGCCAGTTTGCAGCTTGCGCTGATAACTTTAGTTTTGAAAGGCTCGGACATGGTCCACCAAGTTTCTCGCGGAAGACCTGCAAAAAAAGGGGATAAACTTCTATAAGCTGATGTCAAATTAAAGTAATCTAACCCACTGTAGATGACAAAATAATATTTCAGTCCCTTAACCCTTTACACCCTAAGGCAATGGTCTTTTTGTAAGATTTAATGAATACAAATAGGATATCCTTGTATGGTACACCAATTGAAAGGTGTTGATCAGTATACTTCATAAATCACATGAAAAGGTAACAAGGATCTTTGAAAGATAATTTTGGTGCCAAAAATTCAAATAAATTGGCCAAATATTGACCAGTTTATAGCGTTATGTGCCACAAAAATTCAAGAAGTGTCAAAAAATTTAATTTAAACTACCTCATTAACAGTAGCTGCTGCAGATTTGAACTAATCTTTCATTGCCTCTGCCTTTACTGAAACCATGATCTCTGCAGCAGTGGCTGCCCTGGCAGCTGGCTGGTGGTTGTGACTGGTGCTGTAGGATTGGAAACCACTGCTGCATTCCATCACTAATGCCTTGTAGGGGCTTACTTTGGGCCTCACGGATTACTGGCAGTCAACAACATTCACCCCTTAGACTTGATATTGTATGTGTATCCATTGCTGACTATCAATTTTACTTCGCCTTGCTTTGAGCCCTACTATCTGTAAGTTACAGGGAATTCACCAACTGGACATTCATGATAAGTGGGGTCCTCGATCGCGTCTTCAAAATGGTCTATTGTCCCATCTGAAATTAAAGTAACACAGAGGAGTCAATAACTTTTAATTTAACTTGTCTCTTTGATATAAATGAAATGAAGAATCTTTTTGTTGCTTCTCTTTGGTGTCGTTAAAACCATAAAACTATTATTACCTAAACTATTATGTTGCACAAATACATGTATATGAAATAAAATTTTAATTACTAATAGCGCTGCCTTCAAATTGTTCTTGCAAAAACTGTCCAAGATGCGGTCCCCATGATACCTCAGTTGTTGGTGGGTGGAGGGGCTCAGAGCTGG